CTCCCTCCTTCCTTCTCTTCCTCCTCCCAATTTTCCTAACAAAACTGAATTAATCGCCTAAATCTCGTTTTTCTTCATCGAACCCTAAGTTTTTTCTTCTTATTTTTTTCCCCAATTGCATGAACCAATCAAACACGCTTCCAAACATTCCTGATCTGGTTCATGAAAATTTCTTAAATCGAACAATAAGAAAAAACTCAGGGTGAGATCATTTTTTTTTTTTATGTTCATTCAATTCCCGATCTGTTTGTCACAGTGTGCCTACCTGCCAATTGCCATTGTGACATTTCGCATTCAGTGCATTGAAGGACATCTCAAAATCTGCTCAGTTTTCGTTTCACCAATACCGAGATGATAAAGCTCCCCTTGTCTCTATTCGGATTCAGAGGTCTGTTGTTTTTTGGGTTTTTTTTATTATAAAAAAATTGTTTATTTTCCTGTTTTCGTTTTTCTATTTTCACGTCTGAGGATTTACGGAATTCCTAGCACATTCTGGTGTATATGATTTCTGAATCGTTTCTAGGAATTTCAATTATTTGGGTTTTGATTTTGGCCGACAATGGGATTAGGGTTAGGAAGGACAGGGCAGGACAGTGATTCAGACTGGTCATTAACCGTATTTTCTTGTCTTTGTTCGTTTTTAGCGTTGGCATTACTTGCTTGGTGATCCGTGGAAGTCCGTTGTTATTTGGAACTTGGATCGAAGTTGAGCTGTTGGGTATCTGTGGGGTCTCCCCTCGCTTCTCCCTCTCTCCCATTAAGGGGAGGTCTGTTTCTGATCTAGTCCTTTTGAGTGTACATAAAAATTGTCTTCTTTTGGTTCACATCTGTATATTTCTGAGATCAATGTGGGTTCTGGGTGGTATTACTGAGCTACATTGTCGTTTTTTCCCTTATGCAGGAGCTTCAATTTCACATTGCATTGTGTGGAATGTGAATACATTGGAAACCCACCATCAATTTTGGGATTAGAGGGATTCTAGATTCTGGGTTTTTGATTAAGTAGTGGTGTTTGCCTGAAGCTGCATTTGGGAGATGGGAATTTTGGTTTGATTGACAGTATTTGTTCATGGTGGTTAGAAGTGGGGTGAAGTGTATACATAATTCTCCAATGACCCCATTGGAGAATTATATATGACTTCTGGGCAGCCATTGCTATCCTTATCTGATTCTTCATCAGCACCAGTGATTCACTCCTCTTCTCTCACTAAGAACCTTGCCCGTCTCTGCTCCAATGCTTCCTTTTCTTCTTCCAGTCTTGACAACAATGACGATGCTCAAAGTGATCTATTTGAAGTAAAGGACAACGCTGTCGTTTCTGGTTGCTCTGAGAAACCCTTTGAAAATTTCAGTACTCCTGCAGCAGCAACGCAGTTTCATCCAGCCGGGTCTCAGTTATTTCCGCGGTTTCCGTTGGAAAACCCCACGCGGGATAGAACACGCCTGGTGTCGTGGGGTGCCATGGAACTGCATAATGCCAATACAAATTCAGGAACTCTTGAAATCTCCCAGGCTCCATCCAGGGTTCAGGAAAAGTTGTGTCAGAGGATCCGCCACAAAAGTGTGCAGTTTGATGATAACCTGCTACATGATGACAATCCAAGGTTAATCTATATTAATGATCCGAAGAGGACAAATGACAAATATGAGTTCACTGGGAACGAGATTCGAACTAGCAAGTACACCATCATTACCTTCTTGCCCAAGAATCTTTTCATTCAGTTTCACCGGGTTGCGTATTTGTATTTTCTAGCTATTGCTGCTCTGAACCAGCTTCCACCTCTAGCAGTCTTTGGAAGAACAGTGTCTCTTTTTCCCCTTCTGTTTGTGCTCTGTGTCACAGCTATCAAAGATGGCTATGAAGATTGGCGCAGGCATAGATCAGACAGGAATGAGAATAACCGGGAGGCTCTAGTGTTTCAATCTGGCCAATTTCAACCAAAGAAATGGAAACATATTCAAGTGGGTGAGGTTCTGAAGATTTGTGCTGATGACACAATTCCTTGTGACGTGGTCTTGTTAGGGACAAGTGACCCTAGTGGAATTGCCTATATTCAAACAATGAATTTGGATGGTGAGTCGAACTTGAAAACAAGGTATGCTCGGCAGGAAACAACTTCAGCAGTATCTGAAGGGTGTACATTTTCGGGGCTCATCAGATGTGAACAACCGAATCGGAATATCTATGAGTTCACGGCCAATATGGAGTTTAATGGGCATAAATTTCCGCTAAGCCAATCGAACATAGTTTTGCGTGGCTGCCAGTTGAAGAACACCGGCTGGATAATTGGTGTTGTGGTATATGCCGGACAGGAAACAAAGGCAATGCTGAATAGTGCAGCTTCTCCTTCCAAGAGAAGCAAACTGGAAAGCTACATGAACAGGGAAACCTTTTGGCTGTCAATTTTCCTATTTATTATGTGTGCAGTTGTGGCCACTGGCATGGGCCTGTGGCTCATACACCATAAACATCAGATTGATACCTTGGCTTATTACAGGAAAAGATACTACTTATCTGGGAGGGATAATGGAAAAACCTTTAGATTCTATGGAATTCCTATGGAGATTTTTTTTTCCTTTTTGAGTTCTATCATAGTGTTTCAGATAATGATACCAATCTCTCTGTATATTACTATGGAATTGGTTCGTTTGGGCCAGTCATATTTCATGATTGAAGATAGGCATATGTTTGACAGTAGCTCTGGCTCAAGGTTCCAGTGCAGGTCCTTGAATATAAATGAGGATTTGGGTCAAATACGATATATATTTTCAGACAAAACAGGGACACTTACTGAAAACAAAATGGAATTCAGAAGAGCAAGCATATTTGGGAGGAATTTTGGGACCACTTTGCAGGAAGAGAATGATGCAGGTATAACATGGCACTCTAAATTTTTCCCTCTCTCTCTCTCTCTCTCTCTCTCTCTCTCTCTCTCTCTCTCTCTCCCCCCGTTTCCTTTGGGGCTTACCTCGTTAGTAGTAGAGATCATGTTGTAGAGATCATGTTGTAGAGATCATGTTGTAGTTCTTGCATAACAAATTGTGTAATGTTACGTTGGTTCTATAAGTATGTCATTTGTGTGACATTTTTTTCATTGCAATTATTTATTTGTATCGCTTGCTGAGTAGTTAGGGCGTATCTTTTTTGGTTTTTCTAGTTAAAATATGAGGAGGAAAGGTTAGAGAGCATATAAAAATAAAAATAAAAACTAACAGTTTTTATTTTAAAAATCATGATATGTTTTCTTCCAGCTTTCTCTTATCATCCCTTCTCTGCTGCATCTCTCTCTCCCCTCTCCTTGTTTAGTTATAAAAACAGAAAACATAAAAAAGAAAAAACATTACAGAATATGCTCTTAATTTATGTTAGTGTTTGAAACATTGTTTTCTTTTTAAAACTGTTATTTTGAGGAAAAGCTGTTTCAAATTGCTCTGAATGGTCTGCTTGCAGGATATAGATGATACTTTCATAAAGCATATCCAAATCTACCTTTTAAACAATTATCCCTCTCATTTTATGAATCTTTGGCAGGAGTAGGTTTAGGTAGAAAGAGATGGAAGCTTAAAAGCGAAATTGCTGTAGATCATGAGCTCATGGAGTTTTTGCACAAAGACTTAAGTGGAGATGACAGGATTGCTGCACATGAGTTTTTCCTTACATTGGCTGCTTGTAATACTGTGGTTCCGATTGTCAGTAATGGTACATCTTCCATTTCTGCAAAAAGTGAATTAGATGATGTAGAAGCTATTGACTATCAGGGGGAATCTCCAGATGAGCAAGCACTAGTTTCTGCAGCCTCTGCTTATGGATATACGCTTTTTGAGCGCACATCTGGGCATATTGTTATTGACGTCAATGGTGAGAAACTAAGGTAGAAAGTTACTCACTTCTACTCCTATTTTCTTTTTTGTCCTTTCTTCGTTCAATTAGCTGTCCATTCTTTTTCATAATTATTACATGGGGTTGTATGTTTGAATCATGTTAGTGACAACTTGTGTTGTGTATGAGTGTGCTTTAACAAACTTCTGTGCTATTTTTTTACTGACATTTTTTAATTTTAAATTTATTTGTATGTGGAATCTAGGTTGGATGTATTGGGTCTGCATGAGTTTGATAGCGTGCGGAAACGGATGTCTGTTGTTATCAGATTTCCGAACAATGCTGTAAAGGTGTTGGTGAAAGGTGCCGATACTACTATGTTCAGCACTTTAACAAATGACTCTGAAAGGGATGATGATGTGAAGCATTCAACTCAGAGCCATCTGAGTGAGTATTCCTCACAAGGTTTACGTACTCTTGTAGTTGCTGCCAGGGATCTTACAGATGAAGAACTTCAGCAGTGGCAATGCATGTATGAAGATGCAAGTACCTCGTTGACTGATCGATCCTTGAAGTTACGTCAAACGGCAGCTACCATAGAATGCAACTTAAAGCTGCTGGGGGCGACTGCAATTGAGGATAAGCTACAAGATGGTGTGCCAGAAGCTATTGAGTCCCTCAGGCAAGCAGGAATCAAGGTCTGGGTTCTGACTGGAGATAAGCAAGAGACTGCCATTTCGATTGGTCTATCATGCAAACTCTTGACAGCAGATATGCAACAAATTATCATAAATGGAAATTCTGAGGATGAGTGCAGAAATCTTTTGACTGATTCTATGCTAAAATATGGTGTGACATCATCCAATACAAGAGATCAGAGTTTCAAATTGAAAAAGAATGCTGAAAATGGCTATCTTGAGATACCTGGGAATGCAAAGACATCCAGTGTGCCTCAATGGAATGCAGGGAAGGAAGAAGAAACGATAATTGCACCCTTAGCACTCATAATAGATGGGAACAGTTTGGTGTACATTTTGGAGAAGGATTTGGAGTCAGAGGTAAGCCTCTCTTTCCATCTATTGAACTATTAGCATGCAGTTTGATATGTCTTTTGCATTGCTGCATTTGTTTATAAGTGGCTGATAGCTTGCTTTTGATCTAAAGTGTTTTTATAGCTGCACACATTTTATTGTTGAATTCAATTCGCATTATGCTGAGGATTTACATGCTAATTTCAATTTTTCATCCACAGCTTTTCGACCTTGCCACTTCCTGTAGTGTTGTGTTATGCTGTCGTGTTGCACCTTTGCAGAAAGCTGGAATTGTTGATCTAATTAAGACCCGTACTGATGATATGACACTGGCTATAGGTGATGGTAAGTTATCCATTCATAGGTCTCTAGTGGTTTGTCTGACTGGGAGGGAGTGGGATCCATATTGGTATTGTTCTGTTTTCTCATGCAATTCATATTCTTGAGTTTACTGGTTTCTTATGTTACATGCCAACTGTGGTCCTAAACTATGCTTTATTTGGTGTGAAGTTCCTTTATTTTGTTCTTCCCCTGATCACTGACATTTCTTTAGGGGCAAATGATGTTTCAATGATTCAAATGGCGGATGTTGGAGTTGGAATTTGTGGTCAGGAGGGTCGTCAAGCTGTGATGGCATCAGACTTTGCTATGGGACAGTTTCGGTTTTTGAAAAGATTACTTCTGGTCCATGGACACTGGAATTATCAGCGTGTTGGCTATATGGTTCTGTACAACTTCTACCGCAATGCAGTTTTTGTAATGATGCTATTTTGGTATGCATGTTTATCTGGTTATTTGGTTTATTCTTGTGGAAGCTTGCTGCTTGTGTGTCATCTTATTTCATCCATATGTAATCTTATATAGTTGAACATTTGTGTGACCAAATCTTCCCAAGTTTAGTTCAATAGCAAAGCACTCCTTGAAGGTCAAAGTCTAACATAAGTTCTCACAGTTTAATCCAAGAAAGATCATCCATTGTGCATCCAAGTCATTAGTACATTATGTATTGCACATCCAAACATCTTTTGAGCCAAAGGATCATTTTCTCTTTGAATTACAATATTGAAACTTGTTATGATTCTGATTGTTTTATGCTTTCCTGTTTATCTATAGGTATATATTATCAACAGCTTTTTCAACAACTTCTGCGTTAACAGATTGGAGTAGTGTTTTCTATTCTGTAATTTATACTTCTCTACCTACCATTGTGGTTGGTATACTGGACAAAGATCTGAGCCACAGGACACTGTTACAATATCCGAAACTCTATGGTGCGGGCCATAGACATGAGGCATACAATTTACATCTCTTCTGGATCACAATGCTTGACACGCTATGGCAGAGTCTTGTTCTATTCTATGTACCCCTCTTCACCTATAAGGATAGCTCAATCGATATATGGAGCATGGGCAGTTTGTGGACAATAGCCGTTGTTGTCCTTGTGAATGTACATTTGGCTATGGACATTCATCGTTGGGTATTTATCACTCATATTGCAGTATGGGGATCAATAGTTATCACATATGCCTGTATGGTGGTATTGGATTCCATACCTGTTTTTCCTAATTACTGGTTAGATTCGTTGACTTCTACTGTTCCCTTTCTGTTTTGAACTTAGAAATGATTTATTATGTTGAGCTGATTTTTCTTTTCACCTTTTCTTTTTGGGGCAGGACTATATACCATATGGCAAAGTCTCCCACATATTGGATCGCCATTTTGCTTATAACAGTTGTAGCGTTGCTCCCTCGTTTTGTATTGAAAGTTGTGCATCAAATTTTTTGGCCTTCAGATATCCAGATAGCTAGAGAAGCGGAGATATTAAGTAGACAACATAAACATTTGAGCTCAAAGCAAGATGAAGGTTCAAGTTGACATGTATATTACCGGCTTTCAGAAAAAATTTCATTCTGAGATGGGTTCCCTTTTGTTTGTCCATTGTATGGGTTTCCGGTGGAACACAGCTACAAAATTTAAAAGGTGAGCTTTTTCTTTTGTATACAGAATATTTTGCGAGCTAAACAAGTAGAGATAATAATTTAGGTTTCATTTTGTTTGATAGTGGTTGCCTTTTTGGGGGGAGGGTCAGAGCTAGTGATTATCACTGGAAAAAATTAGTGTAGATATTAGGAATCTTTCATGGATGATATCACACAGTTGGAAGCTAATCACCTCATTTGGTTTTTGGTTTCAATTTGGTCTGTAGTACAAATGTCAATAATTATACAGTAGTCTATATTTCATTATTTCCTTCTTGGGAGGAAATCGAGTGTAAGTAATTGCACTTGGTGAAGCCATATTATGATCAGTGACGTAATCTCTCTGTCCAAATGACTGAACATTGTGTTTTATAACAACTTTGTTGTCATACATGTAAAATCTGAATCATAACGTCACGTTGGGTTTAGTGAATAGATTTAGCATTTGAATTATGCCTGCTCTGTAACTAACATTTGCTATTTCTGAAGTTGTGAGTTTCTGCTCGACCCTACTTGATGTTTCTTGCCTCATTTCTCAGAGGAGTTGCACTAGTCGACTACACATGAAACAGAATGTTGGTATTTGACAACAAAGTGGAGTAGCCCGTTAAAGGATAAGAAGAGGGGAAGGTCACTCGGTTACCAGAAACTCATTTGATAACTCTAGTCGGGAAGGAAAATCAGGTGGAAGAAAAAGAAAGAAGAAAGCCCAGAGTTGAGGAATCTCAAGCAGTTTGTTTGAGTCTTTTAGGTGCTGGGCATCGACAATAGCCAAAATGAGAGGGTTATGTTCATAGCTTTGTCATACGATGTGGTAGTCCATAGAGAGTGGAAGCATAAAGGAGAGAGATTGCGAGGGAGGAAAAAAAGAAGAAAAGGACAGAAACACCAGAGTATATAATAGATTTATGTAGAGAGATCAGGTCTGCAAGTTTTTTTTTAACAGCTTACATATAAAATGATAAAAGAAAATTACATGTTCTTCATCTTTCCTATCGTTGAGTTTCTTTTCCTAGCCACAGCGCCATCTAGCCTGTTTTGCCAGGACTTGAAATTATTAACTAGTATTGGTCAAACAGTCAAATTGTGCCAACCATTTACACTTTGAACTTCAATTTCAAATTTGTTGATGGTGCTTCCCGGAAAGAATAATCTACCCCAATTCCCATTGGACCTAACCACGAAACCCTAAAGCTGAGTTTGTATAAAATATTCCTCATCAAATTTGCAGAGTAATCTAATCATGTCATCTCTGCATGGACCAATATTTGGCATGATATCAACATCATCCAATACCATAAGATCAAGTGGCCTAAAACTACTCGTTCCTCGTCGTTGACATGATTAATTTATTAATAACACTTTTATTTTCGCGTTAGTTTTATGACCTTACTTCCAGTGTGAACGTTAATTCTTGGGGTGTCCAAAATTTTCAACAAGAAACGTGCCTCACATTTGCATTCTGCAAGTCGGTCCAATTTTCTAGTCCGTACAAGACAGAATCACAGCTGTTTTCTTGCTTCAGATTCAAGGGTCATGAGACACTGTTAATATCAAACACTCTAAGGGTAGTTGGGGTTACTATTTACAGTCTTACTGCACAGCTAAATTCAATGGAAAATTTTACTTGAAATTCAATTCAGCATGCTTTCTTTTCTTCCACTTCACCCTGGAAAGTTAACTTTCTAGTTAACTTTTTCATACAACTTTCAGAAAGAAAAAGTCACATAAAGAGATTTGAATATTATGTTTCCAAAGTATTGAAAAACTTGTTTGTTGACAATTTGAACCATTGATGGGTAGATAGATCATCCTACAATGTGAGGTCCACTTCAGTCAGTCACCAGCAAAACTCCACTCAAATATTGAGGTGTGTAAGCAAGAAAAACTAAAAGTCCTTTGTTGAGGTGTGTAAGCAAGAATTTTAGAGTCATTAAAACCCATTAATATGGAAAACAAGCTGGTTAGGGACAACTAATTGTACCATCTTATTTTCAGTATTGTTGACCTTCTGCTTGCTTCTATATCGCTCTACAGCTCTTTTAAGATTGATTAATCTTTGATTAATATAATACTTAATGATTAACTCTGCTAACTAACTCATGTATGTGTTGATCACTCTTTCTTTATTATGGGGGGCAACAGGCGGCAAGAGCTAGAGTGTGAACTCTCCTTTAGTCTCCTATGTCTTCTTTCTACTGTCCAGTTGCTCACTCTGAAACCCATTTCAAGATTACGCCATGGTGGTGCTCCTCGCATTCCTCCAAGTCCAACTTCAATCAAATCTATTGATAATGTATTTTTATTACATGTACATAATCAACAACTAAGTATTAAACTAGTTTCTTTTAACTATAGTCTTCCTTTTCCTTTTCCTTTTCCTTTTCCTCCTACGTAGTATCGCAATAATGTAATTCAAAGTATTAATTCTTTAAATGTGGAAGAGAAAAAAAGAAATTTAAATGTCACGGCTCACAAATGTAATGCGTCCAACCCTGGTGATAATAGTTGTGGAATCCGCACAAGTTTTTGGATTGGATACCAGGGACGGGCATACCATTTTCTTATGGAAAAACTGGCAAAAGGAAAGGAAAGGAGAAGAAAAGGGATTGCAGAAGCATGTGGATCAATGGTGATGAGCAGAAGCATGTGGATCGACACTCACGTGATGATGGCATTGCCTTGATCTCAAACATTGTATAAAATCACATGCATGCAGTAGAGGCTAGGGCTCTAGCTTTTGTTTATTCTTCCATAATAGTACCTATTAACTAGTTAATTATTGCACTTCACAAGAGATACTCCTTTTTAATCTCGTTTATGATCGATGCCATTGCCATTTCCCCTTAGACCAGGGCTGTTTAATACAATAAGGACTCGAGTTTGGTGCAGACCCGGTTTACGCTACTTTACTATTAGGAATATTTTCACGAGTTGAAGGAAAAGTTAACTAGGTTTTGGTTAACCAAGCAAGTTAACTACTAAACTAAATTTGATTATTTTGTACAATACGTACTAATTTATTCGTTGCCTTACTAATTACATCCATAATAAAATGGGAAGCACATGAAATTAATCAATGCAAGTAAAGCTCGTTTTCATTATTATTATTATTATTATTATTATGTTTATAGAAATCGAAATTCGATGTCATCGAATTTTAATATTCCAAGTAACCAATTCAATGCTTCATGGAAGAATATTATAACCCTACACATTAGGAGATTGTTTAATTTTTAATTTTTGTTCACACACTATTTGAGGAGAGATTAGTATCAATATTCAAAGTTGCATATAACAAATCATATTCTGATAATAACAGGTCACATATGCACATGAAGATATTAGATGCGAAATGCTGATTGTACTATCTATGAGAGTAGCTGATTGTACCATGAGAGCAACACACAAGACATTTTCCTCCAATAGACGCTTATCCACACGTTGCAACATGAACAAGGACCTTGGAGATCTAACTACCAACTTATTGTCGTCTTATTCACAACCCAAAATGCCCCTCTATTTGCCCTTAATCAAGTACCAAACCTACGTATAACCACAAAATTCTCTGAGGCTATATTCGTCATTTGACAATCATGTTTGTCTAATCCAATTTAGATGAGATGGTTTTATTTTAAAACAGGGATTAAGATAATATAGATGGCCCAACAACCAACTTGGAATTTTAAAATTATTGGTTTACTAAAATTAACAAAATAAAATATCTTTACATTTCCAGAGGGTCAGACAGGGCCAGGTAGGATCCGGTGGTGGATGACGACACTAAAGTGACTTCATGCGATGACGGCGAAACACATTTCGCTTTACAAAAAACCACGTGGAGGCTCATCCAGCCGTTGGTGGAAAGAAATACGTGAAACGCGCGGATTGTGTCTGGTAGTGTCTCTCTCGCATGGACCTTCACTTGTCTTTCCTTGGATTGGAATCCGAAGGAAGGACCTTCTTTTGATGGATATAAAAAGATATGTATCCCATTCATCACTTTGGAGCTAAAGCACACCACAGAACTCTCCTCATCACATAGCTAAACACACTTAGACACATTTAGACAGAGAGAGAGAGGGAGAGGGAGATTAATTAGGTCTTAATCAAAATTATTAAGGTCTAAGCATGGAGTTGTCTTGGCCGGAGAGTGTGCTATCAAATAGGGAAAGGGTGATGGAGGAGTTGATCCAAGGGCGTGAGCTTGCAAGTCAACTTTGTAAGGTTCTTGATGATCACAAGTCAACACTTGTTAGTGGTTGTGGTGGTGGTGGTGGAGGAGATGTTGGGTCGGCAGAGGGTCTTGTTAATAAGATTTTGGGGTCATTTACAAATACCCTTTTGATCTTAAATGGGAAGGAGGCTGACGGGGAGATTGTTTCTGGTGATCAGATTCAAGGGAATAGTAGTGGTATTGGGTCTGCAGATTCATCATCTTGGGATGCCAATCATGCTATTATTAAGTCTGAAGATTTTCATGAGGAGATCAGTTGTAAGAGTGCTTCAACCTTCAAGGATCGTAGGGGTTCTTACAAGAGAAGGTAACTTAATTATTGTTTACTACACTTCAAGTGATTTCTTTTAATTTTTTTTTGGCTCAGGATTCTTAATTGCTCTATGAGGGTCTATCCCACATATGAGCTCCCATGAGAAATTACACTAAAGAATTTTGTTTAATAACAAATGTTAATTTAATCACAACAACTGTTAGATTCACATAAATTCATAAATTTTTTCTGAAATAATTATTTACATGCATGCTAATCACAATAGTTAATTTACTTACAACAATTGTTGAATTATGTTAATATTAATCTAAGAGCTGTCGTGAATAATTTACTCACGACAGCTGTTGGACTCGATATACGCATAAAGTTTCTATTAAGACAAAATAAGGGAGAAGTAAGGACCATGCCACTTGCTTTTGATAGGTTCATATTCATTCTATTCTATGCCAAAAACTAACAAAATTAGGATATACTTTAGTATTTCCCTCTATTGAGTGACTTAAATACCCCTTAATCCTATCTTAATTACCACCATATAGCATTATCAGTAATAAACAAACCAATCATTTCATCCACATGAGAATTTTTCCAAATGAATGAAGTTCTAAACAAAAGAGTCACTTGTTAATCATTTGCAGGAAAACTTCACACTCTTGGACTAGAGACACTCCGGCTTTGACTGACGACGGTCATGCATGGAGGAAGTACGGACAAAAAGTCATCCATAATGCCAAGCACCCAAGGTACACCTTACTTGGGAAATCAAATATAAATTCGAAATATTCGACACAAATTAAAGTGACAATAATTTTTTCAAGAGATGAAGTTGACCAAGATCATGTTAAATGATGCAGGAACTACTTTAGGTGCACCCACAAATTCGATCAATCGTGCCAAGCAACCAAACACGTGCAACAAATTCTAGATGATCCACCAGTTTTTCGGACCACATATTATGGCAACCACACTTGCAGAGACTACTTGAAAGCTTCTGAGTTGATCTTGGATTGCACAAGCCCTAGAGAGTCTTCAAGTTTCATCAGATTTGGCGACATTAAGCAAGACCACCCCTTTTTCTCATCTTTCACATCAGTGAAGAAAGAGGTCGTCATCAAGGAAGAGAAACCACAACCAAGTGATGATATGATGGCAAGCCACCACCACAACCATTCATCATCCGGTGATTATAATGTGTCACCTCATCCGACGGAGTTCAAGTCGTCTTGTCCCCTGAGCGGGCTTTCGTCAACCATTGATCCGTATGATCATGAGGGCGATGTGATGTCTGGTTTAATTGTGGGGCCTTATTACTTTGATGATGAAGTTTTGCAATATGAATTTTGAATTTTAATGTACGTACTTACTTTGAGGTGGAAGAGAAAAGCCCGAGTTAATGAGGAATCTCAAGCAATTTGTTGGATACTTTTAGGTAGAGGTGGCATTTTAGGCCGAAAAATCGAAAAACCGCAAAAATCAATCGACAATTTACCGCAATGGAACCGCAATCGCGGAAAACAGAACCGCATTTGCGGTATGAAGAACCGAACCGCATTTGCGGTTGCGGTTGCAGTATTTGATTTTCAAAACTTGCGGTTACCGCAAATCGCGACTATATTTAAAAAATATATATATAATTGCATTTTGCATATAACATTGATGCTCAAACAACACAACAAGGTCCTTCAAATCCACTCACCACCACCAACACTTGAGTTCTGGCTAGAGCAATGTATACTGAGAAGTCCCACTGGGCGTGCCAAATTGTTTGCCCGTTTTGCGTTCACTCCTGTGATGGAAGGGCAAAGTTCCCCACTGCCTTGAGAACCATAAACTGGTCGACAAGTCAGCTTTCTTTGGTGTGCGAGCGTGCCACTGCTAGCAATAAAAATTCTAGCAGACTTAGTTTGGAGTAAATAACTTGCGCCCCCAAGTTACTGATTTCTGCAAACAAACGATTGTGAATTTGGGTGAGGAATATCTCCCAAGTAAGTTCTTTTCTTGCCTCAGACGGGTGAGGACTTTAACAATTTATCTCAGTATAAACAGGCTGTTCTGGCCAAAATGGTTGATGGAATTTAAACTGTTTCAGGCAGAACTGATGG